AACATATTAGCTTGTACACAAGCTAACAAGATCCAATAATATAGCTGGAAAAATAATTCCACTCACACGCAATGATCCAAATTGTCACTTTTGACTGAAAACGTTTTCATTGTATTTATGTTAATAGTGTAGCTGATGTCATTTCAGCTACGATGCGAAGCGCGCGCCTTGCTAGCTTGACGAGCGTCCATGCGATTCAACGAGACAAGCTGTTTATGTTGCGTTTCGATGACAATATTTTACGTCAAGTAGCTGTCAGCATAACACCATTTTTTTTGGGGGGGGGGTGATATCCTCTTTAAAGGAATCATTTACGGTACAACTCTGACGCTGGATTCTCATTAGAGGGAGTGTACCTAATTTTGTGGCATGCTAGTACATGTCTTGAAGATCTAATTGCTTTGCAAACCCCCACAGGGAGGCGAGTGCTGTGGTGAAAGTGGATGGATGAATAATGAATCCTCTTCGACACTATGTTTAATCCTCGCAACCCCCCCTGTGAGCTGACCTCCGGTGGTAAAGGCACGCTTACCATTCCGGAGTAAGTTTTCTCTGTACTTTCTACCCCCCTCACACTGATGCTCTGAGAACCCCGCCCCCCCCCCCAACTCCGTCCTTTCAAATTCTACACAAATTGAGCCGTACAAGATTCTACAGTCCCAACAAGCATTGGCGGGCTCTCCATTGCTCAGAAATACCAAAGCGCTGAACATGCTAATGCGCACGCGCTTTGTTTAGCTAACATGAGTTTCATATTCCAGACAGTATGCACTTCCCTCTGCAGTAGAGAGATAACGGCTTGGCCAAACACTATAATCAACAAGCCAGCGAGGTCATAGGCTCACCTAGGAACACAGCAGACAGAAAAATGCTTATCTCTCCCTATCAGCATGTCAACCACCCTCACCTCCACCCTCATGCTCCTCTCCCACCTTGCCTTTAACCACTTTCCTCGTGCCCTTGCCTCCTTCACCTCTGCGAGATGCGTACGCCTTCCGATTGCTATTCCATCAGAATGTGCATGAGGAAGAATCGCGGGGAAACTATCTAATCCAGTAAGAATAACAAAGAGGTGGGAGGAATCCCATTCTCCACCTGCCATCTCTGGTCTTGGCAGGAAAATAGCAGGCATCCCGGTGCCGGGATAAACTGTGATAACAAATAGCTCAATCTGTTCCAGGTCTTCATCTGCCATTTTATTTTTGCTCACAAGAGCAAAGCCCCCGAATTATGATTAATGACAGCATACCTGCTCAGGTATTAAGCGAGAGCCCTCCAATTTAAATATTCACGCGCAACAGAAGGATCATGGGGTGGTTGATTCCTTGAAAAGAAAATCCAGGAAAGGCCTTCAGTCATCCGCCAAGTAATCTGTGCAAAAACAATCTCAGCGGGATTTCAGGGATAATTGTGGATATTTGCCAGGCGAACACCCGGAGAGGAAAAACACAGAACGTATTCTTAATTTGTTTGTCTTAAACTCATGTCAACATGAAAATACATGGGCCTTTTTGTCTTTCTGATTATGTCACATAAAAGTATCCTTCCTGTGACACTGTTCAGCGGGCGATGCGAGGGGTAAATAGAAATAACATCTCAAAGAGTATTTATTCTTTTTTTTTTTTTTTTTACAAATATCCATCCAACTGTTCGCATCTCATTTCTGATCTTCACTTTGGAGTCTTTAATTGAGTTTAATACCAGCGGGCCATAATGAAGCATTTGTGGAGTGCGAGTGAATTGACACTGGGAGAGAAAGGTCAAATTTCAGACACCTAATTTGGCCCCAAAAAAACAAAAAAAAGGTACAGTGTGTCCCTTAAAAGCTAAGACGCACCACAACTCCATTACAGATGAGTTTGCTCAATTCGTGTAATGAGTTTAAAGCTCAAGTAGTTCTTTACCAAACTCTTTTAGAGGAAGAGATTTTAATTGCGTGAGTGAGCAAATCTATTTTTCACTTGGTGGTCACAACATTAGGGACACAATGTGTGTGTGTGTGTGTGTGTGTGTGTGTGTGTGTGTGTGTGTGTGTGTGTGTGTGTGTGGGTGTGTGTGTGTGTGTGTGTGTGTGTGTGTGTTTAAAATATGGCCTCCCTGTGTGGAGTTTGCATTTTCTCCCGGGGCCTGCGTGGGTTTTCTCCGGGTACTCCGTTAGGCTGATTGAACACTCGAAATTGTCCCTAGGTGTGAGTGTGAGCGCGGGTGGTTGTTCGTCTGTGTGTGCCCTGCGATTGGCTGGCAACCGGTTCAGGGTGTCCCCGCCGACTGCCCAAAGACAGCTTGGACAGGCTCCAGCACCCTCCGCGACCCTTGTGAGGATAAAGAGGTTCAGAAAATGGATGGATGGATAAAATATGGCCCATGTAGCAGGTACTAGTTTACAAATGGGTACACAATGATAATTGTGTGCTGGCTCATTGGAAAAATTACGCAAACCTATTGGCAGATTTTATTCGATATTTAGACAACGCTATTTGTTTTTTCAGATTAGACAGACAATTTGTAAACGCAGTCCTCATGAATCCTTCTTAAAGCTGACCGCAGCAAAACGATTCTTTTCAATCAGTCCGCGGATGGGGAATATCTTGCTTCTCCAAATGTGATGCCACCATCTTTAATGCTCATTTACGTTCCTCCGCGGCACCGCTGTGCACGTCGCAAAGATTTTCTCCCGCTGACACTTGCGACGTACTAACTGAGCTGCGCAACGGAACAAGTCATCGACATGGACGCTGAGCATTTGTCATCCGTCAAGGAGCGATGACAGACAGCCTGCCGTCATCACCTCACGGGGGCTGTCAATTTCATTATTGCTGTCTCCGTCTGTCTCCCGCTCTTCCTTTCCTGTCTTTCATCTCATCTTGGGGCTCACGCTGACCTAAATAGCTCCTGCAGCATTGCGATGAGTTTACGTAATGGGGAAGAGAAGAGAGGTCACGGGAGGGTGGCACAATCAAAAACACACACACACACAAAAAAAAAAAAAAAGAAAAAAACCCCACAAAAATCCGAATATCCCATCATTGCCCATAAAACGCACGGACTTGCGCGCGCGCGCGCGCGCGCGCGCACGCTGCACATTCAGAGTCGCGCGGGGATGTTTGAGGAGGAGGTGGAAGTAATCTCCAATGAATATTCTATCCCAGCAGTAGCAAGCCATTTTAATTATCAGCACCTCCCCGGCCCTCGGTGCGGTCTACCCGAGGTAAATTAGCCTCAGCAAACATCCCGTCTTCAACCCCGCCAAATTCAATATATCGTCAAATAGAGCTCAGCAGCCACCCGAGCGCACGCAAAGCAAGACGCGACGCGGCGCGCGCAGGACACTGTTGAAGTCGACAAGGTGGAAGATCGGGTGCCCGGAAGACAAAGGATAAAAGTGAATGGGCGGGAAAAAATAAATGAAGCACAGGCAGACAGTAAATATGACGCCATGTGCTGTAAAGTAACTATTGTTTGCTATCCATCCTTCATCATTGTTGGCGAGCTGAGGCCCTATCCCAGCCGATCGGGCAAGAGGCGGTGGTACACTGGATGAGTTTCAAGTCAAGCCACTGCTGTGTTTCCTTTTTCTTTTTTTTTTTTTTTTTTTTTTTGTCGCACAGTTCCAAATAATGTGCGTTTTTGGGACGCAAGGAAATTTCTCAGTCAAAAAAAAAAAAAAACGACGGTAATTCTTTTCTTCCAGCAACGATCGCAGTTTGACAATCGCCGCCATTGTTGTTTTGATCTCGCGTTAAGTAATCTCGCGTGGCGAGATTTCCGTTCTCGCGCGACGAGATTGGCGGGATCGGCCTTCAACCTCGCGGAAAGCAGACGATTGCCAAGTTGTGTCACGTTAAAACAAGTGTTACGAGCAAGTGTTGTGGAAGTTAATTGCGGAGATATCAAGTTGGCTTGGAGAAAGCCTTGCATCATTGGAAGCAGAGTAAAGAGAGGAGAATTTATGAACTCAAAAGATTGAACCATGGGATGAAATAAGAACCTATTTCTCAGCTAATATGGTATGCCTGAATTATTTAAATTTTTGCAGCATTTGTTTCTAAGAAATCAACCTATTATCAATCTACATTGTTGTTTGTGTTATCATATGAAATTGAATAAGTAGACCATTTCAGAATTCAGAATTTGGGACTCTAAATGCATAATGGGACTCATACTTTTCTGATCAGCGACTCCCTGGGACTCGCAGGGCTCAAACTGTAAAATTATCACTGTTCAGTCTTACTTTTTACCAAAATAATTCTCACGCAATAATCATTTTCAAGTATTGTTATGTCATCAACAATAATTTTATGATATTTTTATGAAATTGTGACGTGATGTTTTACTTGTAAAAACCCAAAACAAAGAAAAAGAAATAAAACTCATTAAAACTAAACTGAAACGACAGATTCGGGAAAAAAAAACTCAAACTAACAAACCTGCTCTGAAAACGAATGTTAAAAACCAAAACACAAAACGGTTCTTACCCTGGCCACCAATAAATTGCAAGCTACATGCCGACGAGCACCCATTCGACTTGACGAATTTACCGGACGTGCCTCTCCGCAGCCTTCCTTTCTTTGACCTATCGGATCAAAAAAAGCGCAAACAGACATCGAACAAACACAAACCTCAATATTTCCCCTCTCTCTGTGTGCCAAGTGCTCACCCGGGAGCGATGATGTCCGCCTACCCCCGAGTGGCGCGACTACATTTAGACCTACTAATGAGCTTCTCCCTGGTTTTTCTCCAACTCCGCTACACTTCTAATCACAAGGACATCCAGAGTCTGATCTGCGGAGAGCCGCCTGCTTGGCAGTTGATTACCATAATCAGGACTCATACGACAGGTATTTAATTAGCCACCCTCAAGAACAGAGGCCTGGAAAGTGTCTACCGTGGGCTTGGTGAAATCATTTTACAGGGAAACTCATTCATTACTACACGGACCTTTTGAAGAAAGGTGAAAATTGCTCCGACTTTCATTTCCATAGTTAGAATTCTTTTCTCACCTGACCCTTTCGACGGGGCCGTGAGCTCCAGCCGGCGATCCCAAAGCAACCCCTGAAAATGAAAAGAAAAAAGTTGCAGTTTATGCGTCTTCAGAGTCTCTGTAGGTGTTGAGTGCCAAGATGTTCAACGCGAGCCCACACACGCAAATCGCTCTGGCCAATTAAAACAACAGTAAACAGAAGTTGACTGCGACATAACAGCTAATAAGGTAACTTACGGGGATTGCTAACTGCCTGGAGCTGTTTTTTTTTTTTCTCCTCAGCTCCCAAGTCCCTCATACAGTTGTGGAGTCCGATACTTACAATTTGACAGGCATGAATGTTTCAAGAAGCAATGCCAACAAATGCTTGTGGTAAGCACCAATGAAAAAAAAAAGAACATGACAAATTTTGACATTCATTTTCGACAGTTTTTTTTTTTTTTTTTTTTTTTAATGGCAAAGCCTGTTCTCTTGATTCACTGCCTGTTATTTGAAGATACAATTACTCCCTGTTGATATGGGTAACTACCCATCGTTGACTTGCAATTATAATACAGACACAAAACTGCTACGAGAGAAGGACAACGCATTTGAAGCGGCATGCAAATAGCTGGCTGTGGCGGCAATCTATCCCAAATGAGCCCCTCCCCTCTTCTCTTCAATGTCAGCCGACATGGGCTGCAACTCGCCGCATCGCCGCGCAGGGCGAGTAGCATAGAAGATAGACGGGGAGGTGTGAAAACTCGCTGATGACTATTACAATGCTTTGCATACGGATGGTAATGACTGGCAAACGTCAGCGCCGATGTGGGAGAGCAAACTGCGTGGCGCGGACAACGGGGCGCTGCGTATATATATCAAGTCAAACCAAGTATTTACCTTTCCACACCAGAAAATCGTTTGAAATGATTGATTGCATCATGAAAAATCTTTTAAAGTGGAGGCAACGTCTCTCGACTTTCTGAGTACGACGCAGGGAATTTCCTGCGAGCTTCCCGTGAGTCAATTGAGGTTTCGACTAAGTCACAGTTGGCACGCGAACACAAGCCACCCTTGAGTGCAACGGATCGTCTCAAGGATTGTTTTGTTTGCATGAGTCCGAGCGCGTGTGCCGAAAGCGTTTGCTCTCAATGCCCCCCAACACCCCCACCCAACCCATTCAACACGGCGCACGCAAGTGCTTGCCTTTGCGCATCTCACGGATCTCACGCCGCGCACGTAGCCGTAAATGCCATTTGTGGCGCGTGCATGCCGTAAAAATTCCAGCAGGTAGCTCTGGAAAAGATTTGGAGTGTGACACCCATCCATCCGATGTGTTAATGGCGTGTCGTGAGACCCCGCTTCTATTTGCGAGTAAGCGGATGCATTTCCACTTTGCGTAATCCCAACGTCTCGTAAACCTAAAAGGACGAATCTTACGCCGAGTTTCACATTCTCTCTGTGTTTCTTTTTGGACTTTGTTTTTGTGAAATGCATACAGGGCGTTGATACTTTATGGTCATATGACAACAAAGCAAATGTCAAAATTGACACGATATTGACACAAAATGCACACCTTTCAAAAAAAAAAAGAAAAGTGTGTTGGGCTTTGGGGTTTTAGCAGCATTAAAGTCTTAGAAGCACTTTTAATGCTCTCACTGGTTGTGACACGCTACTTTTTAAAAGGCTGAAAATGAGGTCGCTGATCATGACACGGAGCAAAGCGAATTCTTGCACGGACTTGCGATCATAGCTTGACCGCAAAACGTTACTCGTCGTAAGCTAAAAAAGGAGATTGATCTGCCTTTATTCGCATTTTAGCTGGATTGCACAAAAACATTGAACCTTGTGAACATGCTTTTTGACATTTGAAATCAAGATCCATGTTTTTTTTTTTTTGTTTGTCTTTTAACTTGTGTATGTATATTTAAATATGTTCTTATATATAATTATTGGAACTCTTCAGCAAAGGAAACTTTCTGGTTTCAGAGAGGAATCAAAATTTGCAGTAGGAACCAAAAGTGGGATTGGAGAACTCGAAGACTTTCAAATAATCCCGGATAATCCCTGGGTGGCAAATCTTGGTTAAAAAAAAAGAAAAAAAACAGCATATGGACAAATTCACAGTGGCAGCTTTACAACTTTCAAGTTTTTAACAATGTTGCCAATTTAAAGGAAGGCCCTAAACAGTATACGCAATGGAAATTTTATGTAAAACAGGAAGGGCAATTTATTGCTCAATTAATTTAAGCTTGAAAAGTTGGAAGAAGAATTTTTTTTTAAAAACGGGTCCTATCTGTGAGCCATGGATAACTTTTAATTATGCATCTGCTTTAATCTACAATGGGAGTCAATTGCGGGAAACGGAGTGGTAATTGACTTGATTGATCAGTTTTCCCTCTGGTGAAGGCGGGCCAGTGACAGGACATCTAAAGAGAGCCCCTTTGGGATTTCGTTTGGAAAAAAATAAAGGACAGCCTTTCATCTTGCAGAGCATTGAAAAGATGGCCACGGGATGGACGGACTAGACCTGAGAGAGAATTTGAAAGAAGACGAGACCTTAAAGGAGCACAAGATTGCACTTTAGGTCCCCCCCCCCTTTTTTTTTTTTTTTTACCATTCAAAAAGAGAGCGGGGGTGTTAAGTGAGAGCACAACAACCGCCTCATTATTTCTTTCCTATCAGGATTGCAACTCTTCTTCTGCCTTCGCCCACCCACTCATGTTTTACAGTCATTAGCACACAACGCCGCGTCAGGTCGACAACGCGAATCCCCAAGCGCCCGGGCTCGCTATGAGACTCTTTGCTTTCACCTTTGTTCCCCCCCCCCACACTCCCCTTCCGCTTTCCATATTCTTCTCTCACGCCCTAGCCGGCAACGCGTCCGTCCGTCGGTTAATCCCGCGGGCTTTTAAAAACCTATCAAGGCGCGCAGATTTTTTTCCTGCCTGACATTAGGATGGAACTCGTCTCGTTAGTGTCTCATTAACGGCATCAGATAGCGAGGGGGGAAGAAGAGAGGAATATTTTTTGTTAAAAAAATAAAAAGGGGGGGGGCAACGACAAAGAGCAAAAAGAACATATAAAGGGGTTTGTAGATACAAATGGTTCTGTTGACATATAAGAAGACGCTCCAAGCACCTTGTTATCCTCTGCTGCAGCTTTTATGGAATGTTTGTATGTGTGGTGAGCTCCCCCCCCCCAAAAAAAAAAGTAGCAAAGAGGGCGCCTCTGGGAGAAATGTATACATTATTAAAAACTATTAGCTGGGCAGGAGGGTTTTGTATTCAAAATGCGGCCGTGTGCTTCAGACAAGAGGAAACTAGAAAGAAAAGTCGAGGACGCACGCACACACATTGGGCCCCCGGAACCTCGCAATTATCCTTGAGCTGATGACAAGTGTGTAACATCCTTCCTAATCACGCGTGATTCCTTGTCATCTGGGGATGGCGCAGTAATCACCGAGTCTTGTTTACACAAAATGAACCCAGTTCCCAGATGTATTAGCAACCTGACATCAGTGACCAACCATCACGCTTTCGCCTATTAATGGGAGCCGCCGTGTCATTTTCACTCCGTTTTTAAAACATTTAAAGGGGAAGTCTGAAAATTTCTTCACAATAATATGTTCTATGCAAACGGTGTTCTAGTTAATATTATGTTTGTCAAAATGTCAAAATGGCCGCCTGGATAAAAACATTTTGTTGTTTACACCACAAGCCAATGAAAGGGCAAACTGTAGAAATTATTTACATTTAGTATCTAGCGATGCGCTTACTTTTATGTGATGGGCTGCCACAGCTTGCCAGATGAGACAGCGGCGCGGTCAAGCCGAACAGTCCCACACTTGCCTAACAGTCCGTGTTGTGCCAGCAGGGGTGTCAGCTGCCCTGGCACCCCCCTGCTGTTTTACTGGAGTGGCTTCATTAAAATGAAAGATATGCCCCAATGGCTGTGTCACTTTGATTATTTGTTTCTCGTGCTCCCCTCGATAAACATGTTTCTCGCTTTCCCCCCGGGGCGCTACCTTTGCAACAAACTTATGATCTCGACGTTCATAACCTGTAACCCCGGGCAGACCGCCATGCTTTCCAATTTCTCCTGAGCTTATCTTGCAAAGAAGCTTGACCTTTCCAAAAAAAAATATGACACACACACACACACACACACACACAGTTAAATCTACTGGTATGGCAGATTTTGTATAAAACTGTTGCTCTGTAAATTTTAGCTGCAGGTATGGTACAACCCCGAACAAAGAGTCCAGAAAATGGAATGGATGAGGGATTTTTCATTTGTGGGAGCCAAGCGCTAATCACCTAAAATTTAATTATCGTGATGCACCAAAAATAATGATGCACAAAATCGTTTATTATTCTATTACAATTATTATTATCATTAGTATGGATCCAGAAGAGATGGAATGGACTAAGTTGAGACTTCTTTCTGAAGCTAGAGAACTAGCGTTGATCGTCTTTGGCAAGTTGTTTGCATTTTTTTTTCCTTCGGTAGTCCGGTGGTTAGCACGTCGACCTCAAAGTGCAGAGGTCATGGGTTTGATCCCGGCTCCGGCCTTCCTGTGTGGAGTTTGCACGTTCTCCCCGGGCCCGCGTGGGTTTTCTCCGGGTATTCCGGTTTCCTTCCACATTCCAAAAACATGCATGGCAGGCCGATTGAACACTCTAAAATTGTCCCTAGGTGTGAATGTGAGCACGGATGGTTGTTCATCTCTGTGTGCCCTGCGATTGGCTGGCAACCGGTTCAGGGTGTCCCCTGTCTACTGCCCGAAGATGGCTGGCTTAGGCTCCGGCACCCCTCGCGACCCTTGTCAGGATAAAGCGGTTCAGAAAATGGAAGGAATGGATGGATTTAAAAGGAATGTTCAACATGGTCGAATCATTCAATAAACTATACAGGTCTTAGGTAGCTGAATGGCAACAGTTTAGGTCTGAGTAGCAAAAAGTGGCGGTGGATTCGGCAATGTCGGCCATATCCATACGGTGAGCAGATTCCAAAAGAGGCCAAATTCAGCTGCCTTAACACATTTGACTGGGTACCCCCCCAATCTAAAATAAATCTTTCCCTCGTGCAATTAGTAGCCGAGGACTAATTCTCGTGTCCTCAGCTCCTACGGCCAACCCATTAACCCATGTAGGCCACTGCTGTGGCCGGCTCCGAAATAAGTCAGCAGGATGCAGCTCGCAGGCTTAACATCGACCAAATCCCCTCGCACATCAATGTGTTTTACACCGAGCAGGCTCATGTATCTGTTGGCACCGCAGGGGGGTTTTGAGACGATGCTGGTATGATGCCAGCTGGGACCGTCAAGCCAACAAATGTGGATGTCATGATGCATATCATCCATTTTGCATAAAAGAGGCAAAGCCGGTTTCCCAAGCAGCGGCGTTCCCAAAATCAACACATTCTCTTCAAGATCTCTTTGTGCTACTGTAATTGATGCCTCCGTTTCCCCCCTCCCCAAACTCGCCGGCTAACTTCTCAGGCTCTCAAGTACGAAAGAGTGAAGTTTAAGGTTTGATGAAATTGTGACTGG